ATGATAGCTATCAAAACGCCTGCCATTTGAAATAAATAAATAAATAGTTGACATTTGATAGACTTTGACTTTGGAATCTTTGTTGGTTCCGTGCTTATTGATCAGTTGGATGAATAGAGTTATTGATCGTGGCATCAGGTGGTATTTCCCTCTCCAATGCCAGGAGCAAAGTAAAATTGACAAACAGCCGAATGCACTCAAAGAGAGATACCGTAATAGAAAGCCTTTGGTCGACATAAGTAGATAATTTATGCAATTGTAAAGAGTAACTGCAATTATATCAAATGATAATTAATTGAGAAAGAAAGTGAATACGCCCACTTTAGAATATTTAAGGTATATCACGGTTATTTTATTGCGGTTTACTCAAAACATAGCAGAAAGTTGTCCATAACCGATTTTTTTTTTCTCACAAGATAAAGAACTACATATTCACTATAAGACAGTTGAATTTATTCTTTCTTTTTTGACATCGTATAAGTGAAAAATCAGAGGAGCTAATGTTGCCTGAAAAGCCTCATTTATGTATTTTATAAACAATCCAACAATTTATGCAGTGGATTAAATGCAAGCACTACGCGAGGGTTTCAAGACCTGATGTTAACTGAGGGGAATTCGTAGAAAGTGGGAAATGAAACGGGACTATGGAAAAGCGTTTATATTGTGTTTGGACGGAGGGAAGTGGGGAAATTGTCAGCCTCTTAACTAGGAATGAAAGTACTCCTAAGCCAGGAATTGGATTAAACCAAAAAATCGATAATAAAAAAACTATCTCGTATGGACGAAAGGATTCATAAGGAGAAGTGAGTGAGCCGATTCAAGGACAAAAATTAATCCTAGACAGAAGAAATGAATTGTAAATATCCAAAAAATCATTATGAAACAATGAGTCAAAATAGCTCAATTTTCACAGGTACTTATAATGACAGACCCTATAGAATGCCGTGTCACATACTTACCTCCAGAAGCATCCCAGAAACGCACTGAGCCGTCAGCATGTCCTGTGATGATGAGTTCTTGGTATGAGCACAAGTTCGTTCCCCATTCACCTCCATCAATTGGCCACTTTCTAGTTGAAAAGGAATCACAACCTGATCCCGATGCCTGATTGTCACCTACGCTCTCCTGATTGCTTGGCTTTCCGGCTGCAGCGGCTCGTTTTCCCCGACTACCTACTGAGTAGAAAGCAGGCACAAGGTCGGCTGGACATTCCACGACGTAATAACAGGCTGTAACTGGTGAAACGGCAATGTCCATTGGATAGGGGTTCTCAAAACTTGGATACCTAGAAAATCGGTGGAAAGTGATTAAAAACTGCTTGAAACCTGAGGTAAACTTAACCGATTAATGTGCGAAATGCGTTTTCGCAGACATCTACTTGAAATAAACACGCCAAACACATGAAAAGATGCGTCAATAACATATGAAAGTTGGTAAGAAAATCAAATTCTAGCATTATGACCTTAATAAGCCAAACTAGTACTGACAATTACACGGATACCAGGACGTGGAACAAAAATGATTCATACCTTGACATCTGGCACTCCAAATGGGTAGGTTAACAAAGGCACAATTTCTAAGATTACCATGTTAATTACAACAGATGGCCATCAATTTGCCAACAAGTATTTACTACTTCGGAGCGAATTTTCTGTCCAGTGAACATGTTACAATGTTTCATGACGTAGGAATAATTGATGAATTGCCCTAGAACACAAACATTGTTGACGAAATCGCTTTGTACATCACTTTCTGTGAGCAAATGATTAATTAATGGTTAATGGCATAGCTGTGCTTCCTGTAAAAGTCAAGTTAGCTTATTAACAGGCAAATAAATTATAGATAATCGTTTATTTAAATGCTCACATAGACGCCATGACATGCCGTGAATGATATTACTCTTCCTAAACCGAATTAACTAGATTATCCTGTGGATTCCATTATGACGTCAAGAACAACATCACGTCCACTTTATAGTCTCAATCCTAATTGATGCTATTTAGTCATAATTAGCAATCATCAAAAACAGAGATATGTCAAATAACTCTTAATGAGCAATCAATTGGCGCTAGCAGCTTACTGCAATGGATAGTTGAAAGGTACGGAAGCAAGTACCTATAGAAGTCAACGCATTCATGAAACTCAAACGATTGCCACAAACTATGCTCAATTTCTCTTAAACGTCATTTGGAAATCAAGGGAGGTGTAGGCAGTGGCAAGAAGTGAATTTTTACAAATCATTAAGGGTGTCCGCCTAGGAGTTGCAGTTACTGGGCCATAAATGCAAAGGCCCCTAATTGTTCGCATTTATATAACCTTACGTCAGACAAACCAGTTATAATTTCTATTTCAAACGACTTTACGATTTCATTCTATCAAAAGGCTACTGTTTTCAACTACCAACCATTTAACAAGCACACCTGCAGCTGCTACATCAATTTGAAATAAGGATACTTTCTCTTTCCTTTAAACCTATTCAAGAACTTACCCGTTAGAGAGAAGATCAACCAGGACCAAGTCTTGTTGAATAAGGACTGCAATGGCGTATGGATCGCATGCTTCTACAATGAAAGAAAATCGCGATATGAGGTAGATCATTTAGCGCTCTTAGGCCCCTACTGGCCTCTTTCAAACTAAGCTCCATCGGTACTACGCTTGTAACAGAAGCGGCACTATTGCCGTTTGAAACACATTCAATACATCTATAGCCATCGCCTGGTGCCACCAAAACTTATCATGGCGGAATTAGTCTTATGTGAGACAAGCGTGAGGGCGATAAGGTGCTCTTTTTCGAAAAAAAAATAATTTCGGCGTTAAAGGGTTAATATATTACCCTATTTCTTATGCACCTCGAATTAGACAGCTTTCCTCAAGAAAATACTATATTTAATGATGGGGCCTGGGGTGTGCGATAGACTTACCTCCACGTGGTGCACCCTGGGCAACGTATACTCATACGGCAAAAAAGTCTATTGACCGGCAGTTGACTTCTGACTTTAAACTACCACGACCCCCCTGGTTGTCATATTCGACCCCTTCTACAGTACTCACCTTACCTTTTTCTCTACCTTTGTGTCTGTCTGCCTCTTTTACATCTGTAAATCGCTCTTCTGTTCCCCACCCCTTGACTTTTTGCTACTTTAATAAACCTTCCCTCTGTGAAGCTCGAAGTCAGCTAAATGGCTAATGATATCTATCAAAACGCATGCCATTTGAAATAAATAAATGATGGGGCCTATGCTTCATTAGGCATACAATTGACAAACTTTCATTTCTTTTCGTAACAGCATTGAAAGATATTAATATATAGACAAGTTAAATAAAAGGAAGTAGTAAAGATGTGATTTGAGAAAGTGGAACAAAACTATCATGAGTTATATCTACTGAGACGGGGTGTGCGACGGACTTACCTCCACGTGGAGCACCCCTGGACAACGTATACTCATACACCT